TGATTGCACAACGCAGGCTACATTTGTCCCCGACAATGCTTTTTTTTCATATTTTGCGAGCATTTATTTGATTGTGAATCGCTAGAAATCGCAATATTACAGGCATGTCTAGCAGGGAAGAAAAATTACCCTGCATAAGCGGCTAATGGCCACTGCAGAATGAAAAGTTATTCGTTTGTCGTTGTTGAATTTAAGCCATGGCTGCCTGCCGTGGCATTAGTGCCCTCTCGTAGGGCAAAGAGGTACCCGCTGAAATATGGCAGCACATTTAGTAAATTGTTGTTGTAATAATCGCACTTGTTTTTCTAGATTCTTAGCATTAAATTGAAAAATTCTTGAGCGATTCAAATGTGCTGTAAACAGTTTATAATCAATGGGCAGCTAATGTGCTGCTATTGCGACTTTTGTTGTAAGCAATAAATACTACATATAATAAAGTATAAGAACGTGTGCTTTACATAGAGAAATAAACCAGAAAAGAATCACTCTCGAGGACGAAAATCAAACAAATAATAGTCAAATAATTTTGTCATAGAAAGAGAGAAGAATCTTCCGTGGTATCATGGTGAAGTGCTCTTCAGTTCGTGTGCATTCAGGTAAGGTGATCTTAGTAAGTGAAGTCTGATGGGTTCAAAAGCTTCACAGTGGCGTCGAGAAAGTTTACAAAGTGCTCCAATATTCTGCAGAGACCATTAAGAAAGCCTATTACTATTCTGTTGCTGTTCCTACTAAACCTGACAACTGTTTTCGATCTACTAGCTGATACTCTTGGAATGAATATTTTGTCCTATCTGTTGAATTCATCCAGCGACATTGAGCCGCAATTTTCATCCAGACGTAGCAGTTTTGCTTCACAGAGGTCCGGCAAACCGCCGAAGGGTACTAGGCCTATCAATCCTTGGGCTGCTCCTTTCCTAGCCAGAGTATCAGCTACTTTGCTACTCACTATACACTTTGAACGGCGACCCAAATGAGGTAAACGAGGAGGAAGCAACGAAAGCCTGTACTCATCACTGTGGGATTTTCACCAGAATTAAACCTCCTACC